TAATTTCTTTTCCCTGTTCTAGAATTGACTTTTGTGAGGAACAAATGAAAGAATGAAAAAAAAATGACTACCAAATCTTGGGGAAACAATCATATTTTTTCGCTTTTTTTTAAACGAGTCATTTAAAGATTTACCGTCATTTTCTATGAATGTTACGTTCATTTTTTCTATTTTATTTTTTAAAAAAAACTTTCTCCTTAATTAAAAGATAAAAAAAACCTATTACACAGCAATCGCCAGAAAAGTTTCCAGCTTTATTCTTTATTTTTTTATAATGTTAGCTTAAGTACACCAATTGCAAAGTAATGACTTTAAGTTAGAATGTTTTATGTAGATTTTATATTTTGGTCTTATTAGAAATGTTTCGAAACAGAGTTCATTAAATTCTAGCGCAAAATAGGTAATACCAGAAAGATTATATTTATTTCGAAATAAAAGCACCGTAAGTTCTTTTATGTTTATTTTGTCACTTTTGAATAGTTTTTTTTCCTCAAATCAATGGTCTTGGTATTTTCGGTTTTAAGTAAATAACGAAATATAAAACCACCGAGTAATTTCCAAGTATAATTATTTCCTTTTATTTGCCAAGGAGGATTTTTTTTTTAAGTTGAATTATTTTTTTTTATCTACTCTTATTTTTTTATTTAAATATGTCAGCTTTTGTACCGTACATAAGATGAATTTTACTGACATTATTAATTATATTGCAAAGAATTTATATTTTTATTTCTTACTTATTTTTACTTGAATGAAATTATTCTACTTTCGTATCACATATAATTTAAAAACTTTTAAGTTTTATTTATTTTATTGTTAATAATCTATTCCTTTATTGTGATTTTTTTAATATCTCCGCTAAACAGAAATTTTTAAAAAACTTACAACAAATACGTTGCTTTATTTAAGGATTAAATAATGCTCTAAAGAGCTGTGTATATTATAAAGTAATTATTGAGAATTTGGTGAAAACAGTCATTTTTAAACTTAATGCAAATTATTTTGAACACTTGACGCTTTGTAGAACGTGGAAAAAAAATGCTTAAACACCAGCGGTCTTCAAAACAATGTAAATTTTTAATACTTAATTTTCAAGTTAGCAGAATCATTTCTCACAGCTTTTTCAATCAATCCCACAAAATAGTATATTAGGAAGATAATGTTTAAAAATTTTATAGTTTACTCAATTTCTGCTCCTTATCTATCTTAAGAAAAAAAAACTTTGCTGGGAATTTTGCAAGACGTAAACATTTCTTTTTGCCAACCATTTTTTTTTTGTACTCGGATTGCTCAGTTGATCTCAGTTTTATTTTTGTTTCATGTTGTTGCATTTACGTAAGAATGGGATAATTAATGTATTTTTAAATGTATACATGCCTTCTACGAATTGTATATTGATTGGTAATGTATTTTTAAATGTATACATACCTACTAAGAAGTGTTTACATCGTATTTGTGATATGACGGAGTCCAGTCTTTCCTGTTTAATGCATTGCTGTATTGAATTTGGCATGATGGGTCATCAAGGAATTTAAACATCTTAGTTTCAGAAAGCAAATAAGTGCTTCGGCACATTGTGCACCTCAAAAGCAGAACAACGGATGCCATTTGCAAATGAATTTTACGCCATCAAAAAGAAATAATTATGTTAATAAATCAGTCAAAAGATGATGTAAATTAATATAAAACAAATAGAAATCAATACAATCAAATCTTCTACAGAAAGTTGAAACACCCTTTGCAAATACTGCCCCTACCGTTGAGAACACGAAACGCGGTAGAGAATAAAATACTACAAGATTTATGTCAAAAACTTACTGAATAAGCAAAGAATTTTTATCAGCAAAACATTGCACAATTTCTTTTTTTAAAGGTTTGTACACCATTATTTCGAAATACTTTTTTAAATAGGATTATGCATTTGTTTTAAAAAATTTTATTCTAAAATTTTGTCACCAGCATTATAGGAAAATTTGAACGCGTACCATAACACTCTCTTTATTATTGAGTTTTTGATTAATTGAGTTCCTGGATTTTTGATAACTTATGAGATATTTCTAATCTTTCCTAAACCGGATCATAAAAAATCTTCTTGCGTTTAAGGATTTAATACATTTTCATTTGTTCTTTATACTTTCCATTTATTGCGCCCTCTTGTGGTGAGAACTGAACTAACTTAATACTGAGTTTTAATTATTATTATTTTTTTAAATTACTTTTTTCTATTTTTCGATGAAATTACAAATTGTTCAGTTACTGTTTAATTTAAAATATGTTTATAATTATTAATGATATGTATACCTTATATTTATCAGCTAAATATAAAATACATTTAAATGCTTCATATTATAATCTATACATTTTAAACTCTAGAATGGGTAAATTTGTAATTTTTTTCAGTTATTCTTTGAAAAAAAGGTAAATTGACACTTTATGTATCTATCACTTAATTATGAAATTTAATATTTCAGTTTATCTTTAGTTTGTCTTAGTTGTGTTTTCTTACTTAAAAATCTTACACTCTCCTGATATTTATTTTATTATCATGTACCAATTATTACAAGGATGACTTCAACATTTACCGATTATTGACTAAAACTATTTTACATAACCTGTTTTTTGTTGTAAGGCCTAACATTGTTTTATTAGATTTATTTTTTTATTGCCCTTCTATAGAAAACTTAAGCAACAAGAAGCATTCTGAAGATACGCCTTTATGCATATCCAATAAGCTCTTCCTAAATTTCCTTTTTTTATGTGTATTTTTCTTGTTATATACATAAAGAATAAATACTCTATCCCACTATTCTGAAAGATGCCATGCAAGACACATGTTCCTATGGTGTTGTTTTCTCCCTCCATGTACGTGATAAAGAGATGTTACATGTATCTATTTCCCATTAACGCAGAACGGTCGAATTTATGACATGGATCTAAAATGTAAGAAACAGATGTTTAGAGGGAGTTGCTTTCATGCATTATGATTTGAGGCACAGATTGCTTAGGTTAACCCAGTAAAGAGGATTTAAGAAAATGTAGTTAAATCGAACATGTTATGATATGCATAAATTTTTATTTTGTACACACAATATCAATTTATTTATTTATTTTAAATTATATTTATCAAGTATATACATTTTGTGGAATTGTTAATAGTGCACATTGAAAATTATTAAATTGCACATTTTATACAATAAGAATCAATTCTAATATAATGGAAAGACCATCTTGTAAAATAGAAATTAATGAATTTCATTCAGGGACTACACTGAGGAAATAAAGTATTGTTAAAGCTACAAGAATATTGCATGATTTACTGTATTTCTGGCTTTATTGAAATACCAAAAAGTTTGGAAATTTTTACCGAATCGTTTTTGGTAATGAATTTGGTAAAATTAACAGTAAAATATGGATTTATAATGAGTGATAAATATTGGTAAATGTAGTAAAATTTGTTAATTTTCCACGATGTATTAGATTTTTGCATAAAAACAATTTATTTAGTTGCATTTGCTTTTCGGTTTCGTGCTTTTTACTCTATGTGCGGTAATGAGATCTATAATTTTGAGAACTAAAATTTCTCGAAACCGTTACCATATTAAAAGAAAAATTACTAAATGAATAGCTTAGAGACTGCATGTTTTGGTTTTTATTACCAGAATTGGGTACTTGCACTTCAAGAAAAAGATCACTGATATCCAAGCATGTGATCTATGATGTCAGCGTCATCTGATATTTTATAAGCAAAATGATGTGTTAAATTTAAGCTAAGTTTCTCTGCGTAAGTTAGAATGTCAATTAATGTGAAGTTAATTACAGTGCCGTGTCACACATCGAGAATAGTGAATATAGTGAAATAATTTTTGTTTCAGATGTATTAAATAAAAATAAAATAAAATAAGGAGTAAAAAAATTAAATAAGGAGTAAAAAAATTAAATAAGGGGTAAAGAAATAAAATAAGGAGTAAAAAAAGTAGAATAAGGAGTAAAAAAATATTCCATTAGTATGGCTGTTTTGAATTTCTCAATTAAATTATTATTCTATTGAATAGAAGTTTATGATAGAAATAAATTGTATCGATATGAAACAGAATATACATATTAAAAAAATGGGTAAATGGTTGGAGTTTCTGTTACACGAAAAATGATGGCAACTACTTTATACCGAATCGGTGTTCCACTACACAGAACCCGGTGCTCCACTACACTCCCAAGCATAGTTTCTGGTGCTATGAAATACCTGGAATATTCTTTTATAATTTTATACTTATTCTGGAATATTTTTTATACTACTTGGAGGAAAGTAGCTACCACCAACCGTGTTTTTTTCCTTGGTAACGTTAAAATGTATTACAGTAATATATATACAAACATAAAAATTAATAAACAGTATAAAATTAGAGCCAGTATCAGTATAATCGAGACAATATAAAATAAGAATCAGTAATATAGGTTGTATATATACATTAATTCTTTAAATAAAATGAACATGTAAATCAAAATACGCATATCAAAGAAAATATAAAGACGAATTTGAACTTGACTTAACATATAGTGACGGACGGAAATTATACATTAAAAAATTAAATAATATAGATTACAGGGACTTGAAAATGCTGATGTAAATACTCTTATTACATAACTAAAAAAGTACATCCTAATTTCAACGGCGATCTTTAGCTTTTGCAGATTGAAAGCAACATTGAAGACAGCAGCAAACAACTCGTTTGTGAACAATTGCAGACGAAACCAACATGCGCCAACATTCGAGTTCACGGAAGTTGAAATATTTAACTTATGTTGTAATAGTTAAAAATCTTTATGCAAACTTTTTGCATTTGCGGTTTTAACACGATTTTGTGTTAACTTGAAGAAAAAAATAGTTTCTGTAAACAACTTGTAAGATTGCTCAACATAAAATATTACATCTCATGTTTTACAGTGTAAGCATGTAGTTGCAAAATGAACCTGCAACATTCTAACTCAACATATTTTTTGTGTAGATTCAGCAAGCTCAGGTGGAAAAGGTGAAAATCTTTCTATGAGTTCATATGGTAAAGTAAAACGAAGTGATCCATCAGACGATAGCCAAAGAGAACCTTTATATTATCCAACCCCATATGCCACAACGCAGTTATCAACTTACAGCGAATCTCCCAACACTTCACACTGTAACACGTTACGAAGGCATGATGGAAAAGGGCATGAATATGACATTCCACATAGACATGCACAGGTTTGTTCTCTTTCCATTCATAAATATGTTCTAAAATCATTAAGACATTGAATATAACCATGCAGTGTAATAAATATATTAACATTTGCGCACGCTTAAATGTTCCAGATCAAATTACGGTAAAAGAAGTACACTCTGGATGCATCATTCCATTAAATCTGTAAAATCCATTTTTACCGTAAAATTTATTTAAATTCAGTGATTTTACAGGAAATTTAACTGTAAAAATTACTGTACATCCAATTTTTAATGCCTATAATTTCACGATAAAAATATCTTTTACGGTAAAAAACAGTGTCACCCTGACTACCTGTATTTATTACTGTAGTTTGAACCGGAATTATTTGCAGTGTGCCTTAACAAAACAATGTAGAAAAATATTTTTTTTCTTCAAATTTTCAATTAATTTAAATTTAAATTAAGTTTAATTCTTTAATTAATTTAAATTTTTTTGGTTTAAAATAAACTTACATTACTTAATAAATTAGGATTATGCTAGGATCATTAACTCTTGTAAAAATAAAGTTGTGAGTTGTTGTTTGAGATTGGGGCCTTGAAGATAAAATCCATTTTAATAACATATTCATAAAAACTGATATTTTCCAGGTATATTCTCTAATTAACATCAATATTTAAGAAAGAATTGAGATATTTATTATTAATATCACAGATTCGATATTTTGTTATTTTTCAAATAAATCAAGATTTTTGGTTAAATAAATGAGTTAAATAGGTTAAATAAAATTATATGATATTTTGATCACAAAATAATAATGACATGTAGGATGCAGCAGAACTGACTGTTCTTCTTTTTTTAAAATGGCCACACATTATGGTATAGAAAAATTGAAAAATTATACTATAAGCACACTCAAACATGACATTTAATTATCAAAAATCAAAAGCTTTTCATTGATACACTCTCAGAAATAAAACGCTTTCTTTTGACGATTCGTCAATCCTTGAGCACTATTTCGTTAATTTTGAGAATCATTTCGTCCCGAAATCACTTGAATTGTGACGAAATGCGAATTCTCAAATTTATGACGAAAATGTTTCTTCAACTTGGAACTTAACTGTAGTGCATTGTGGGAGATTCTTAACTAGAATGACAAAACTAAAATAAAGACTAGACATTCGAAGATAAAGTGAAAACATGTATAGTGGTCGAGAAGTTGGCTTTGTAGCAAGTAGAACCGGGGTTCAAATTCCGCTTTGAGCAAAGGTGTAATTTATTTCGCTGTTCTATTTCTCCTTGTGCTCTTACAGATATATGTTGCCCATGTAAAATTGTTTATTCGAAAAATTGGATAGATTAGGACGAAAAATTTGCTGACGAATTATATTGATGACGAAAAAGTTTTTTAATTTTGACGAAATCGTCACTTAGACGAAATTTTTGTTTGGAGCATATATCACGAAACAGTTTCGTCAAAAACGCGGACAGTTTCGTGATATTTGAGTAGCTATTTTTTGCAGTGTAATGGAGCCAAAAGATAACTTTATTTCGAATTGATGCTTTCCTGTTAACACTTTTCGAACTTTCGTAACTTTTTCAATTCTCTTTTAATTCCGCTTTCAACCCCTTCAACTAATTTTGCATCAAAATGAGCTGAATAACTGGTATAGTTTATTTCAAAACTCCGTGGAGCAGAAAAGATGCCTCGCGGAGAAAAAAAGATGTTTATAAAGAAAATTATAAAATCTGTTCATACTTTCCGGTCACGCATCAAATTTGAAATTTATAAGAGCGGACGAAATTAAATATTATTCTTCAGTTTTTTGTTACCACTTAAAATTGTACAATATACATGCTATAGTTTCTTATCTTATATATTAAAATAAAGAACGAAGTTGAAATGTCATTAATATTTAAAAGCATACTAGTCGTTTGATGTGCTTAAAAATCACATGACACCCCACTTTTTTTATGCCTTTTGCTTTTTACTACAGTGGCTTATCAATTATCACATAAAAAAATCACAGAAGATAATTAATGGTCAAAGTTTTGAATGTCCCACAGCTGGGACCCCAGAAAATATCCGTCAGAGAAAAGTATCGTAGCGCTAATAATTCTTCGGGTGCTGTTTACAAGAAAAATACAAACTCTCAAATGAAACAAATAGCAAACGTGACAATTTTTCTAAAGAAACCAGAACACTAAAGGAAAAAATATAATTCTTGTTAAAAAATCATGTATCTCTACAACCTCTAACTACAGAATTGTTTATAGAATAGCAATTTATTATAATTCTCATGAATTCGTACAATACAATTGCTTTCAAGGCATAGAGTCTTGTCTTGTTATAAGAAATAGTAGAAACTATTCTACTATCGCATTTTAAAGTAGAATACTTTCATTTTTGAGTCTTCCGTTTAAAATTTGACACATTTCTCATTCTTAGGAAACTTTTTGATGCATAATATATTAAATTAAGAAAAAATAATAGTAATATTAAAGTTGATTAATCGATATTAAAAATAAATGCAATGATCGAGGATTCTCTAGAAACAAAAATAACGTTATTCTCGTTTCCATTAGCAATCTGGATTGGGTATAACATGAAATATAGCCAGAAAAATATTCAGTTTAATCAGAATTATTGAAATTTAATTTAGGTGTTATGAAGGCTCTTATATATTTTCGTTACTATCGTTGTTTTGCTCTTAAAATTCTTGTGTACCCAAGTTATTGAATACATTTACTAGCATTCGCTAACACTGTAAGCTTCAGTAAATTTTCTTTCTGATTGAAGTTCACAATTTAAACACATTCATATTTTTAATGAAATCGTCAAAAACACCGATATTTGCATTACTTGAAAATGATACTAGTAAGTATCAGTAAAATGTTTCTTTTTATGCTGAAATACGCATGCATGAACATTCCAGGATGAATGTGAATTTTTTATGAAATTCATTTTGAATATTTTGAATATTCATTCAAAATATTCATTGAAACAATCACAATTTATTAGATATTACAAGTTTGGAGATGAAATATTAAAATCAAACAGACATTAAAAAATTTAAATTTGCAAAAGCGTCTTGATTCATTTCTCAAAACGCATTCTTCATTCATTTCTAAAAAGAAAAAAAAAATTCTTACAGAAGTGATAACTTAACGCACACTCAATACGTTGACTATTATGTTGGTAAATGACGCGAAACTTGAAAAAAATTGAAGAAATTTCAGTTTCTATGCACATTAATTAATCGGTATGCATTGAAAAAATAATGATAATTTAACATATTTCCTTTTATTATTCCGTAAAAACTAAGCATAAGAGATTATATCGTATGGATTGAACAATTTTAAGCTTTGTTTAAATGTGGTATACGTGAAACATCTTTTTTTCACACAATACCGTTTTGAAACTAAAACCCTCGGTTAATACGCGTGGACCTATTTTTCAAGTCATTGTGACACAACGAAGATGCTTAATTTTTTCGGAGCTCCATGTTTAAGGTTCAATTCTATAACAGTCTAAAGACATTATGATATTAAGACACGGAACCTTACCTCGTGTCGAGCATTAAAGTGTTGCCTTGAAAAAAGTTTGAATTCTGCAACAAACATAATGACCAAGGAATGAGATAACAAGATGCTCGGTACACCAATGCGTCTTTGCAAAGTACCATATAGCGTGACACCCTTCCTTTCCATTTTCTATAATGCTAAACAGTTGCTAAGCAGTATTCTAGTTTGAGAAGTATCATTTGGCTCGGCACCACCCTATATTAAATACAAAAGTGTTTTGATGTTTGCTCAGTTAAAAATCATATTTTTGATTCAATCCTCTAACATAGTCGAACCAGTACTTTTTTTTCGAATTTTAAATCTTAAACTTTTATGAGCATTATACTAAAGAGAGAATTAATAACATACTAATCACGTTTCAGAAATATTCATGCATTATACGTTTAAAAAAATTGTTTCGTTACGTTTAAAATAAAATAAAAGAACTGGGAGATAAGTCAGGTAAATTAAGCGGATGTTACAATCCTTCTGAGAATGCTTTTTTATTGTTTCAGAATTTTATGCGTATAATATAGTGTTATCTTGCGAATATATATCTTTTTTTTTGAGCTTTCATTGACAATGGTATTACATTCTTCAAGATTTTACAGATTTCTAGATTATTGTTTTTCCAAAAACTTCTAAAATACTTAACATTAAAATTCGCAGTAGTATTTAGACAGTTACTTTCGATAATATTTGCTTCCCTCCTTTCATTTTCCGTTAAATAGTTTTACGTATATAGGTCTGAAATTTAAATTTTATTGTCTTAATGAATAGTTTTATTTAGCTTTAAAACAATAACGTTAAATGATGTTAATATGTTTTAAATTTTTAAAAAAATTTGAAGCATTTTTAGCGTAAAATTGGATCATTGTTCTTTATTTCATTCCATAGATCTGCAACTCTATTTTAAATTTAAAATCCATATTTTTTCCTTTTATTGAAACAATGATTAATCAAGTTGTTTTTAATCGTTCCCTTACCCTACAAGTGACTGATGCCCTCAAAAGGACTACTTTTTAGCTTTTCAATTTTAGAGTAAATTAAGGCAAATCAAAACTCAATTATTGTATTTATATAGTTTATAACTGCTGAAATATTTAAAAATATGAATAACTAGCATTTTGTTATTATACATTTTTAAAATAAGAACAAATGCAGCATAACAATGCATTCTAATTCATTTTAAAACTACTTTCTTATTTATCTAATAGTTTCAATCACAGGAACATACATACATTTTACCTAATACTAAGAACAAAATCTGTATTTTGAATATTTAAACTACATATGTATAAAAAATAAACAAATTGTAGTGTTCACCTTATAAATGTATAGCCGACTAATAATGGTACAGCTTGTACTCGTAAGCCATTCACGATTCTGATAATAACAGACCTCTATAATGTCTTGGTCCTTATGTCAATGAACACGGCTACAGCAATTTGATGAAGAAGTCATTGTGTTCGTTAATGAA